ATATATAAATAAATACTATAATGACATATAATCAATACTAAACTAACACTGCTCTTATGATCTCCATGTCAAAGATACCAGTTAAACGTTATAAGGTCAACACACATCACAAAACAAACAACTAAAGATCAGGTGACCTTTGCATGGGAATTATGCGCTGAATGGAATTCCACACATAAAAGGGCGTCATATTTAATTTTGGGATTGATTATGTCATAATTTCTGGCAGTTTTGAAGGCCACCGTCACCACATGGTCACTTTTGGTCCTTGGAGCATCAGTGCTCAACATTCAGGAGAGATTAGGCGTTCACACAGGAGGTTCTCGTTTTATAGACAGAAACAAACCGTATGCCACAGCTTCAGAAAAGCTGAGAAAATCATACCCAAATGCAAGAAGTGTGATTTATTCACCATGAGACTGGTTGAGCAAGTCATAAGGTGCATCATGAATCTGACCTGCAAGCTTCAAGGCACATTGTGGATCAGATTTCTGCTGTTTGACTGTAATGGTTGAGAATACGGACTTCAGAGACTGAGGTTACAAACTGCTAAGGAAAGTAATCAGAGAACACCAGAACAGTAAGCTTACAGTCCAGGTGTTGGATTACTTGAAAGACTATTGTCTTTCAAACTAGTACTGTTTGAGAACATAATGAACATTCCCAAAAAACCAAAGCAATCTCATTTCCAGCATTCTTCAGTTTGACATTTTCTTAAACTACAATGTGGCTAGTATTAATATCAGTATTTGCTGTACATGACTAAATGGTGTTTGTTTACGCAACTCATGATCATCCCTCCAAAAAGGAAATCTGTGTAGGAATGTCCTGAGTAAAGAAGGGTGTGGGAGGAGCCAAAAAGACAGTTCCACTGAACTGATCGCACTCTATGAGAAACGACCCCCTGCTTGTGCTTTCTAACGAGCAGGAAACAGAAAAGAAATCATTCAAACCAGCCATTTTCCAAGACCACTGAAGTGAGGTTAATCACTCATAAAGCTCATACAACAAGCACATCTTCATCTCTATGGAAACAAAGAGTTTTAAGCCCTTATGAAAATTTGCATGATTGCTAGAAACTCAGCGGGTGAAATTCGGATAAACAGAACAGAGGAAAAGGGGGAGATTTAAAGCATGGTTAAGGGATAAAATGTTGCCAACGAACCTGCCACATCATACCACTTTGCTCCATTTGTGATGCCGTCCTTGAAGGTCTCATTTATGTTTTCCTCACACTTCGGCTGCCCTGTTTTCATAACAGGGTTATTCTCTGCGTAAACCCGTGCCAAGTATCTGAAGAGAGCATCATCGGGGGATCTGCTATAGGTGCCCTCGTTATCATGGGCCGCAGAGTCATCAAAAGGATAACTGGCCACCACGGTCCCACCATGCAGATTCCCCGAGAGCACAAATCTGGAACAGAGAACCAGAAAAATCTGAAATGTTATAATTAACCCATCTACTTTACATAGGTTTGATTATGATTTGATTAGACATTGCACTTACAGAGGTAATAATAAGATGAAAAGAACAAGGAAAAATTATGGTAGAGCTGAATTTTAAAAAAGTATTGCATTTTGCAAAAATTTAATTAAAATCATTATTATTATTTAAACAAATGAAATATTGTAGAGTGGATTAGAAAAATGTATATTAATTAAAATGTTCATAATTTCCCTGATTTTCAGTTGTTTGTGATATTTATTTACTAGATTATTTTATTATGTTATATATTATATATAATATATTTTATTATATTATACATAATATTAGATTATTATATAGATTATTTATTTGTTTGTTTGTTTGCTTGTATTTTGTTTAATCTCTATGAAATCTTAATCCAGTAATGACAAACAACTGGAAAAATCATAGAAATTAGTAGTCTTCATGAATATACATTTTTCTAATTCTAATTTCGTAAGAATAATAATAATAATAATAATAATGGTAACACTTTATTTTAAGGTGTCCTTGTTACATGGTACATGTACTTACTATAATAATAACAATAAATTATGCATAATTACATGCAAGTAACCTAAACCAAACCCTAATCCTAACTGTATAGTAAGTACATGTACTTAATTAATATTACTTCGTACTTAAATGTATAATTACACTGTAACAAGGACACCTTAAAATAAAGTGTAACCTAATAATCATAAAAGGTTATGATTGTTATTATTACAGTAACACTTTACAATATAGTTTCATTTATTAACATTAGTTAACATTAACTAACAGTAATGAAAAAATACTTCTAAAGCATTTATTACTAAATTACTACATTAATTTGTTTCCAATCAAAAGTTGTATTTGTAAATATGAACTAACAATGAATAGTTGTGTTTTTATTACTAAAGTTAACAAATGTTTTAGTAATGTATCAGTTATTGCACGGTTTTGTCATTATAATTATTCAGAAAAAAAGAATATTGTAGCGATAAATGATAAATGTATATTGATTAAGATTTTTTTTAACTATTTTCATGACTTTTACAGGCAAGATTCCCATATTCTTGCAAGCTCTGTTAGTAGCTGTGTTTTGGAACATGGTGGCAGGTTCCCAGCTGGTTTAATATGGTTAAAAGCTGGATTTTCTGGAAGGTCTGTCACAAAGTTAGTGAATGCTCTTACTGGTTCTGCAGGATCCACCTCATGACAGCGGCGACTTCAGGCATTTCTTCTGCATTCACGTGTATCTCTTCAAATTGGTCTGGGAAACTTCTATTGAGGTCGACGTTTTTAGCATTATTCCGACCCTCATCTTTGCCCATACAGTCCTCCTCCTTAGACTTCTCAAAACCATCAGGGTTCATGCTCGGCATGATATAAATATCTGTGCTGTCGACCAGCTCTGTGACCCGCGGCTCCTCTCCGTACTTCTCCAGCAGATACTCCAGCAGATAGATCAGAACCTGCCGGGACACGGTCTCGTCTCCGTGCATGTTGCCCACGTACTTGAATTTGGGTTTTCCTGGCCCATCAGCAGTTGGGTCTCTGGTGATTCTCATCACCCAAAGCTCCCTGTTTTCAACGGATCTCCCGATGCTGGTCAGATTTGCGATGTTTGCGTATTTCTGGGCGAGACTTTTGAGAAGGTCAGTAAGTTGGTCGTAATTGTAGTATTTGCTGTAAGTCTCTGGCTCCAGCTCTCTCTGCTCGTCTAGAGGAAGTGAGTTGTTGATGGAGCTGATAAACACAACAAGCATAGATAAAACCAAGAGCGAGCGTTTATGTGATGAACACAGACTGCTTCCCCTCTGTCCCGACATGTTTCCGAAGGCACCTTGACGTACACATGAAATCCTAAAATTTGTCCGCCTGGAGTCAGGTCTTTTCTTTTGCTTGACGTCGGGGTATTTTTGGTAGGAACTTCCTGCTAACGCTTTAACAAAGGGTGGAGTTTCTATGACAGCCGGAATTGTTTCAAAATAAAAGTCACGACTACAGATTTCTGTCATACTGGTGTCTGTATTTTAACCACTACAAACTAGTTGCTGTGTTTTGGAAAATGGTATTTGGTTTTATTGATGACGGTCTATCAAGTGAAACTAATTACCATCTTGATATGATTGTGGAGTTATGGCTGTAAATTAAGGGCAACAACTGAATAACAGATTTTGTGCATGGGCCCCTTCAGACCTCCACATTTAATTAGTAATAACAAGTTTGAAAAAGAGCAGCTTTGTCATCATTATAGCAGAAGTAGATAGAAATAGACTGGCAATTGGGTGACCAGTGTTGGGTAATATATTTCTTCTGGTTCATCTACTGTAATGACAAAGTTTTGTTTTCAGCACTAGGATGGTCCACAGATTCAAACAAGTAACTAAAATAATTATAATTCAAATGCAAATAAATTCCGATATTCTCCAGGCATCCCACTCTTTATAATCAATGAATTCAATATTTTTAACCGTTAAATTTACATGACATTTCCAGTCGTTTTTTTTTTAAATAGCCCATTAAAATATTTTACAGCCTGGCTACCTAGAAAAATGTATATTCATTATAAAAATGTGCATTGTGTTTTAACAATTTTTTTAATGACTTTTCCAGATCTAGAAATCACAAGTTTAATACCCATTTATCGTGATATAGCCAGGTTTTCCAGGACCTTAGGAACATTGTTGAAGGGGTGAATTAAAATAATAAATGTCTTATTTAAAATAATCTTAAGGCCCCCTGGTTGTGAATCACTGCTACAGAGGGCCTTAGTGGGCCCTAGTCCACCACAGGGACCTGAACAAATCCCTGGTTAACCTGCACTGAGGTTACAATTTTCTTAGTGCACTAAATACTTTGTTGAATGTTAGTTATAGTAGAATCTAAATGAATACACATCATTCTTTAAATATAATCTAATCTTCAACTGAACTAACATCTGGGACTGAGAAAACACAACATCCGACGGTCCAAATCCTACTTGCCAAGAGCAAATTTGATTGATTTCTTCCTACTTCATAAAACATAATTTCTGACTTTGCAAGGTAATTGCTTCACTAGCAACCATTTTGTTTCATGACGAAAAAGCACATAAAATGTAGAGATAAAAGAGAAAGGAAAACATTTTGAGTGCAGAAGAGGTGGTTAAATATTTTACTTGAGGCAGTTTTATTTAAGTTAATTATTAATTCCATGCTGTTTCGTTGTAATACAGATTCTACGTCTGTGGTTCCAGTCAGATATCCAGTAGTACAAACTAGTTTCAAGTTAACAAAGTACAGAAGAAATTATATGCATTATGTAGATTCGGGG